CAATTATTTTAACGCGTTAAGGATTGTAAAATTAATCGCATGCATTAACGCGTTAACGATGACAGCCCTAGTTGGTAGATTATTGAAATATTAACTACCTCAGAGATATTTAAAAAAATATGTATTTCATGTCAAAGTGGTTTTGGCTGACAAAAAAAAAAACATTTGGGAAATAATTTAAAAGAAGAATTAGGGGAATCAGTAAATTATCAATGATTTACTGCCATTGCGTGAATAGTACACACTCTATATACTCTATTTATTTTTTATTTTTTTGGGTTGGGAGATAACTGAGCCTTTACAAGGCATAAATAGTCCTCACTTTAGATAAGCTCACAAAAATAGATGACTGACAACTACTAAATGTTTTATAACTACCTGACTTAATCATGAATTACAGCAGGAATGTGTGTTAATAAAGCATTTATTAACACACTGCGCAACTATTATCACGTGTTTAAATAATAAGATTTAGGATTGTTTGAATGCATTCGCTTACTGGATCATTGGACTGAAAACTTTCCTGGAGTTTAGCAGCTTAAAATGATCTGATCGCAAGCAGAGAAGCAAAATTGGGTTAAAGGGTTAGAATAGAAATTGTGCTTCAGTAATTTTGCGTTAATTGCATTCAATTATTTTAACGCGTTAAGGATTGTAAAATTAATCGCATGCATTAACGCGTTAACGATGACAGCCCTAGTTGGTAGATTATTGAAATATTAACTACCTCAGAGATATTTAAAAAAATATGTATTTCATGTCAAAGTGGTTTTGGCTGACAAAAAAAAAAACATTTGGGAAATAATTTAAAAGAAGAATTAGGGGAATCAGTAAATTATCAATGATTTACTGCCATTGCGTGAATAGTACACACTCTATATACTCTAATTACGAGTACTTGATTTTTAGAATCTGATTATGAAATCCAGATTATATGTGATCAGTTACTACCCAGCTCTGTCTGTAAAGTGTTTAGTCTTTTATGTTTTGGTCTAGTTCATCCCAGTGAATCTAGAATATCGGACAATGATTAACACATTTGAACTGATCTATGTTTGTGTAGGTTCTGGAAATGTCCATGCGAGAGCAGAAGCAGGAGCTGGAGGAGCTGTTGTCCTTCTCTATTGAGCTCCAGAGGAAACAGCTGCTTTTACCACAGGAGAAGGTTTGTGTCACACAGGGAACAAAAGTTATGTGCTGTGCTTCAGTTCACTTACTTTTTATCATTAATAGTGCAATGCCAAAGCAGTTTTTAAATGTATGAAAAGTAATGAATTTTACCTTAAATTAATTGAGCTTGATGCTAAAGCCCTGTTCACACTAGTCTGATTGATATCGTTGATATAGTTTTTAGATAGTTAATATTTTGAATTATTTATTTTTTTTACATTTTCACTTTAATTTTAGATTTAGTAAATGTCGTTTTTATTAGTTTTTCCATACAGTTTGTCTATGTAGTTTTTTTAATAATTTTGGTTTTCATGATTAATTTAGTTTTATTAAATTATCAATTATTTAGTTAGTGATATTAATTAGTTATTTTATTTAGTTTTAGGTATTTTACTACATGTTGCTTTGGGAACGAGCTGCAATAAATTGCATTTATTTATTTATTTTCAGTTGACATTTATTTTTAACTACACTTGTTTATTGATAATTTTAGTTAAACAGTAATTACCCTGGCTTACACCAACACAAATGTTTTTCGTAGGCAATTTGTCTGTTTATACAGTGCATAATAAACATTGTGAAGTCAAGCAGAAGTTACGTTATTTACTGTAAGAGTAATTATTTTTCAGATATTTGTATTTGTGATGGTGTTCATCAAACAACACCAAATGCAAGAGTAGTTCACTTCTGTTATTCTCTGTCACTTAGCAAAATACTTTGTTCATGAGCATCACCAAATCCTAGCTTTTTTTAAAGCAGCTGTTTTTTAGGCATGCGATCAAAAAATGCAAATTTTGCTGGCTTGCCAGCTTTTTTTAGCAGTAGGAGTAATATAGCAGTAATTGAGGCCATAAAATCATGAGCATGTTTTGATTTAAAGGTCAGAAGCTATAGCTTGCATGAACAAAAAAATCACAAACATGACACTTAAATGAAATAATTTTATATATACGTACTGATGTATTCATTGATGTGTAATATGTTATATGTTTTAAACAAATTATGATCTCTAAAAGATTTTCAGAATTTTTACAACTCTTTTGCTTTAGACCATTTACAAATGTTATCATAAAATAAAATGTTAAGGTTACCACTGCATCTTTCTATCTTTCTGAAAAAAAAAATGCAGTGATTAACATATAGTTTATTTATAGTTATTTTCAAATCTTCAATGTACTGTCATTATAAAATAATTTTATTATTGTTTATTTAATTCTAACAAATAAGTTCCTGTTAAAAACTAACCAAAATTAAAAAGAATTATATGTCAGTATCGGCCAAAATGAGTTGAAAATTATCGGCATATCTGATATCGGCAAAATTCAATATCGTGCATCCCTACCAAACATTATTCAGACACCAGATATATTTTTTGATATTTTTTTACTAGTGGGTGCAGGACACTATAGTTCATT